GGGAGGAGAAGAGGCAGAGTGAGGGCTCGTCCCGTCCAACCCAAACCCCGCGACACTAATTTAGGGAAGGGGCTGCAGTGAAACCGCCCCACTGGTGCCGTTCCCCTGCGCAGGGTGGCACAGGCAGTGACACGGGCAGCGGTGAGGGCAGGAGCAGGGTGTGACTCGGCTGCGGTGCAATATGGGGCCAAGGGGCTGGGGTGATGCAGCGCCATGAATCAGCTTCCAAACCCGTGGGCTTTTTATTTTGATAACAGCCCGTGTGAGATTCAGATGGAAACTGTGTCAGAGCCGGTTCTCTCCCATTGCCATAAATCAAAACATGTGTTTTCTGCTCACACGTAAAGGCTCATGCATTTGCTTTTTCCTCCTACAAGTCTCCTCACGACCAGAGGACGATGATCACACTTAAGTGAGTTACACTGAAAAGTAGCTCAGTGCAATGAAGAGGTAACGGGACGTCCAGGATCCCTGCAACGGGTTCCAGGTGTTTGCATGCACCTCTAAAAACCCCCATTTCTGTCAGGATGCTGCCGGCCAAGGGCAGGCAATTCATGGGGAGCAGCAGATGTGGCCCCCAAAGCCCTGCACCCCGAGCCCGGCGCCTGCCAGGAGGCGGTGCCTGCAGTGCGCGCAGAGCCAGGCACCGCCTTGGTTTGGCCTCTGCATTTTAGTATCACTGTTGCTCAAAAAACTGCCACGAGCAGCACGCAGCAGAGGAGAAGTGAGCAGCTCCTCTGTCACGGCAAAGCTGGTGCTGGCTCCGACACAGCCCCGCTCGCAGCCGCTGTGCTTCCCCGCACACCTCCAGGGGCTCCCATCTGGACCCCACCGCAGCTGCCCCCAGCGAGCAGCTCCAGCATCTCCAAGCGCTGGCACAAAACCGAGAAGAGACAACGGCACTGAGTGGCAGAGTCCTGGCCCAGGTCAACCCACTGCACGCTGCCCCTGCCGGACCCCACGTCACAGAGCTGCCGTCCGCTGCGGGCTCAGAAAGATGCAGAAAGATCGTCCTGTGCTGGAATTACTAATTGCAAAACTATTTGGGAGGAAAAGAAAGGTTTAAATTTTTCAGCCTGACCATAGCTGACCAGAAAAAAAAAAAAAACACAGAAAAGGGCTGCTTTAGAGAAGACATTTCTGTGCTGAAATTATACAGAGACTTAGCTAAGAGACTTCACTAATTTACTTCAGATGGGAACATTGTAAACTGACTTTGTGCCAGCTAGTTTATATAAACGCACAAACAAAAGAACTGTATTAATTTTTTATTTAGAAGTAAAGATCATTCCTGTAAATCGAATTACTTTGAACAATGTGCTATGTAAACAGTCGTCCTTGCTGAACAGTATCAAACGAGAGGCAGGCTTACCGAGCTAATAGCACGTGGTGATCGCCGCTCCCCGCTCAAATCACAGCCCGCTGCGAGGAGGAGGGAGCATAGCACAGGAACGGACAGGTCCCAGCCCCCCCAGGACCGAGGGGAAACTGAGGCACAGGGCACAACACAGGAAAGGTCACACAGTCCCACCACAAATCAGCTGGGATCTGAGGGAGACACCCAGGTTGTCCCAGACCCGCAGCACAGCGCACCCCCAGGTCGGTGGTGGTTCCCAGGGAGTGGGGCATGGGGACTCACGGGGTGGCAGCAGCCAGCATGGGTGGGGCTGGTGCCACTGTCCCCTGCAGACCCCCGGCGTGAGCAGTGCCCGGCGAGAGGCTGATGCTCGGCAGCCAGATGCAAGCACGGGGGCTGCTCAGGCTCCGGCACCGACAACAACCGACACTGCGCCTGCAGCCAGCACCTGCCTCCAGCACTGACCACAGCGACTGGGTTTTACAGAAACCAGGCTGAGCTCGAGAGGCATGGACACCCGCTGTCACCCAGCAGTGACCCTCACTGCAGGAATGAGAGAAACGCCAGTGAGCACGCTGATCTGACCCATCGCCACGAGAAAAAACAGCTTAAAAATAAAATTAATTCACTGAGCTCAAAGGGCAGCGATAGCCCAAAGAGTCCCATCCACTCCGGACTGCAGGGCACCAGGCAAGGAACACCCCGTGGCTCCTGCCACCCACCTGGCAGGGACAGGGATGGGGACAGGGTCACGCTGCAGCAGGAGACGCAGCACCCAGAGGCTTTGCCTGAGCCCAGCACAACAGCACAGGCTGGGGCATCACCAATATCTGCCGGAGCCGTCGGCTCAGGCCCCACACACGCGGCTTGCGAAAGGGTGAGTGGACACTGCAGCTGTACACAACTGTTAGTGCCGGGACATGGAAACTGCCAACGGCATTACCAGGAAAGACTCATCCCAGAGAGACTCATCCCACCTCCCCCAGAGGCTGCCACATCAACATCTGGGGCACGGGAAGAGCCGAGGCGGGAGGACTCCCTGGTGCATTCTGGCTCCCACGCACTGCTTGTACCCCAGCGTCACAGCTCCCTGAGCCTTGCTGTCCATCCCCGCTGGTGGGCATGAGGCAAAGGACACATGGGGCCACCCACAGCTCCAAACATCCCTGTGCCCTCCTGAGCCCTCTCTGTAGGAAGCCCCTGACACAGCCTCCCAGTCACCTAAGGCTTCCAGACATCACCCCCAATCTCACAGCAGACCAGCAGCGGGTTGCCACAGCGAGTCTGTCTCCACAGCGGTGCTCGAGCAGGAGCATCATCCCGGCAGGGCACGGCAGCGAAGGGAAACGGAGCCCACCCGGGCCACAGCCAGGCTGCGGATGCTGGCCCACCCACGTCACAGCTCTTTTGGTCTCCTGGACCCCAGGAACACATCCGGGTCTGGTGACCCCACACTTGTG